AGTTGTAGAATATCATAAACGAGGGATTCAGTTGAGTCTCTCGTGAAAACCAAATTGATTTGCAAGTGAGTGTATTTCTCGAAAATGCTAGGGTCAATCTTTACATTGTTGCCGCTAAAGTAAACAAGCATTTTTTTCATCTGACTCACCTAGGCCCAAACGAATTTCCTCAAACAAATGAGGAGCTGGATTGTGTTTGCAAACAGCACTCACACCTCTGAGGTGCGCTCTACTAAGACTACCTGAACATTGGATTCTCAGCCTGACTCCGATGATGTACTTTCGGACGAATCACAGGTCTAATGTACGAAAAACTCCGCAAAAGTCGAGAAAAATGTGCTTTCTGAACAGTGCGGTCTCTACTGCTGCTTTCCCCTATTTTCCACACCCTGCAGCATCTACGTCCTTCAGTAAATTGCTGGCCCTATCTAAAAAATCATTGTGAGTGCTGACGGATTCTCTTCTCCATCTAATGCGAAGCCAATGAAGGACGGTTGTTCAGACAAGAGTGATATGAACGTGAATTCTACGGGTCTAGCAACCATCAGCAAATAAAAATAAATCCGCCTGAAACGATGGAGGTTAACGGAGGTCAAAGAGTTTACAAGCGCACACCGCTTATCGAATTATCAGACACGTCGTTGAGATATCTGACCAAAACACTGTGAAGAACTGTGGCTGTGCACTGATACCTCAAAGGTTTTGCTCTTCCAACCACGGTTTTGATGTACTTAGCCGTGAGTTTTCGGACTAGTCAGCTATAGCCACTACCAGAATTGAGTGGACCATCGTGGATAAAGATGCACCGTCCGAATAGATTAGTGAACCGACCCTCTGTAACCGATGCTCAGGGTGTGTTTACAGCCGTGACTACCCAATGCTGGTTACGTGTAATAACTGTACTTTTGCAGGAAAAGTGCCTCATTGGTTCAGATAACGCTTGTGACACGCCTTGCGCAAGTCGCTTGTATTACCACTCTTTCAGGACCGACTGAAAGAGTTACAATGAGTCCAGATATGAATAGCCTGCTCGACCAAGACTTCCATCAATCTCTCTCCCCAGCAACCAACTTGCTGTTCGTGAAACACACGGGTGCATTGGGAAACTTTGGCTGCGGTTCTCTTGCCGGAGAGATTGATTTTCAATGCCTAGTACTGCTGAACGGAAACCATTTTAGTCACAGGACACAGTGCACAAGCGTCCTTGACTTATTTTGTCTCCATTTCTCTCTTTTCTTCCCTGTGTAAGTAGGGGGAATGAGTGCCCGTGAGTCTCTCAATTCAAAGACACTGACTTTGACTGTCACGGTTCCGGAGCACACATATAGTTACCAAATTTCGTGAACGTAATTTGTTTGTTGAATCCGTTTATTGCATAAGCAGCTTTCTTCCAAGAGCTTCCGTCAAGCCTGAACCTCTTGTAATCTCTCACCTCCCTTATAATGTGAGTCTTCGAACGCCTTCTGTTTCCCTCCATCTCATCTATATGCTTGTTTCTGTCCGTACGCCTCCCCCCCCCCAACGAATCTGCTGACAACCTGTTTTCTCTACCCAGTCTTCTTCCCAGTTCATCTCCACCCAATAATAAGTTTTTCTGATATCCCTCATTAACGGCCTACCAACTCCACGTACAATTGCCAAGTAGAACTTTGGTTTACGGTAATTCTATGGTCTCTTTCACTGGCTCGTTTTCCTTTCAATAGCACTTCATTGTGCGTTGACCGTCATAGTTCAGTGGTTAAGGTGCGAAATTACTGACACGAAAGTCCGTCGTTCAGAATCAACTGCGGAATTCAACTGTTCCTGTATACACCTGGGCAACCTGTAGTATCTCCACCCGTTTACTCTTCCGGATGGCATGGCTGCTGAACGATTATTTTATCGCGACCGACACCCTAGCTGAAAGCACACGTTAAAGATGAAAATTTTCCTCAAGGTGCACAAAACCTCACTTGATTGAATTTAGATCGGCCGAAGTTGTTTAGGTTTTAAGTAGTTTTCGCGGCTAAGAGCTGTGATTCTCTCTCCTGGTGGTGGTCTGCCCGTTCTTCAAGCCGAAAATACTAAACTGGGGTCAGGGGGGGCCACACACTGCTTTTCCCAGCTCAAATAAGAAGTACTTGGAGTGTCGAGATTACTTTGAGAAACTCAAGAAAACTTATCCCTATGCCTGAAGAATTCTTGAATGGTTGGATATGTGCTTGTCGAAGATCCACCACTTTTCCCTCCACAAGATGAATAGCTCATGAAACTGAGTAGAATTGTCGGAGTTATCAAGATCTTACGGACACACTCAGTCAAACCAACCATTCCTGTAATGAACTATTTTTTACAGACTGAGTTAATTCCTGATTGTAGTCGTAAGTTGGTATTAGTTGGCTATATATTGGTTCCTGTTTTTCTGCGAAGCCCGGAGAAGCACAGAGTTGTTGTCTAGAATAAATCTTATCGTCATACCTTGAAATACTACTACTTAAGCTCCAGTCGTCAATCATGGTTATCCAATCCTTTTCGGCGGAATCAAACTGGATGAGATGTGGATAGTAATCCTAGTGAGACGGGGTGGCTCAGTGGTTACAGTGCGAATTTACTGACCGGAATGTCCGTGGTTCGAACCCGACCTCTGTCTCTTGGTTTTCCCTGTCTAGACTTCGGCAACCTGACAGTATCCCAGCCCTCGTGCTTTCTTCTGGTGGCATGGCATCTAGGAATCGAAAGGGTTTTATAACTGAACGATTTTTTATCCATTTAGTAATCCTAGTTAGTTGGGATAATTTCAATGAGGACAACTTAATTTTCCAGTTTGATTTACCTCCAGTTGTCATGAGCATCTTAGTCATTGGCTGAAACTCCTATGACACTACTCGGCCTTCTATAGACGAGATGAGAGTCCGTGTTTAGTGGGGCGACCTTTACAGTCTTTTGATGAGACATCTGACGGCTGATTACTTGAACAGATTCATAAAGAGAACAAGATTTTCGCAATGAGGTACATCCACACCCAAATCAGCGCACTCTTGGCTTCTTTATTTCTTGGCGATACTCTGTCCTCTTCGTCTGTCAGCTACCAAAGTATGTCCATCCAGTTTCCTCAAATCTATCAAGTTTATTCCAATTTTAGTAAAATACAGTCCCACTTAGACTGATGGAATAGCAGTCGCTACACAATTCTCTATAATAAGGAAATAGGGTTGTCCTCTATCAGACATACTACTTCAAGGAATAGAATTAAGTAATTTCTTCTGTAAGAAGAGAAGGACCAAATAGAAGTTGTCTCCTCCGGGAATAGCGTTCTGTAGAGCGTGTCCCTCAGGACAACTCCAAGTCGCACATGGTTCACTAAACGTGTATTTTCTACGTTAGACTATGAGAACCCGGAAATGTTTACATTGTTTCCACTCATCGAAGTATTTGTGCCTGACCTACAACCACTGTAACTCGTTCTGATCATCTACCCGTTCGTCAAATTTGATGTTTTCGTAATCCGCTTCTTACTATGCAAACTTTGATTGCTGGCCTCAAGTTTACCTTGTTTTTCGGACACCTGAGTCATCGCTCTTGCGTCGTGTGTGCACCAGGTGGCGTGCGGATTCGCCTTAGTTACAACTTACTACGGGACAACACAAGCCTCACCATGTCCCCGTGTCTGATTGGTAGAAGTGAGAAAGTGAATGGTACCGTTGCCATGGTGATAGACAGGCCAC